CCACTTCAGCATGAATTCCATCCCTGCCCACCCCGGAGGTGACCCACATGGCATGACAGACCTCTCCTGACCTGCCCGCTGCTTCCTTCAATAGTGCACTTCATCAGTCGGCCTGTTCTGCAACCCACTCTGCTTCTGGTCAATCCTCTCACAGCCACTGCACCTCTAACCTGTACCTTGGTTCTGTATGCATAAATAAATAAGTCTTAAAGAAAAAAAAAAACTTTCCATATTGTTATTAAAATGGAAATACCAGAACCACTGTAGCTGCCTCCCTGGGCTGCCTCCATGCCCTAGTGGCCCCTAGGTTGTGTTATTATGTGGGTTTCCTAATTTTGTGGCAGATAGTCTTAACAATTCTAAAATTAATTATATTAAGATGGTGATAGAAGAGTTTATTTGTTTGGATACCAAGATGAACATCTAACACTTATGAGAAGCACACTAGACGGTTGTGTTCACAGTTGGAATGAGTCTTAAGTACCACGGCAATTCAGAGACCGGCAAGGATACATCATGAGATACAAAGGGGACACAGAGGTGATTCATGCTTTTTTGAACAGAAGGTTCATAGAGAGAAAAGCCTGGAGACTGCAGTATGTGGAAACAAACACAAACAGAAGAGCTGTCAACTTAGCCAGGTGATGTAGGAAGGGGAAGGCAGAAACAGTATGGAGAAAACATGCTTGATTGTGATGAAATTCATGAAGAGGATTTGAAGTGTACCATATAGTACAGGTCTCCAGTAAGAAAAATAAAAAAGCAAATATTGTAATCTACACTACCAGTCCTTTGACCTTAAGACTTGAATTGACCCGTGAAACACACGCTGTAAACCATAGTATCAATCTGGGACCCAAGACTGATGGAGTATCCTTGGTGCCATTAAAAACAGTCCAAGCATATCAAGCACATTTTCTTTTTTACAGTTATTGGACCCCTCCAGAATCCTACCCTACTCTGCTGACTCAGGAACTACAAGCCAAGTCTGAGTACAGTAAAAGTAGATCAGGGCCCTCCCTGGTGGCGCAGCGGGTTAAAGCACAGCACTGAGAATCTAAAGCCGCTTCCGCATGAGTTCGATTCCCACCTGCCCCGGAGGTGGCCACATGGCGTGGCAGACCTCTCCTGGCCCGCCCACTGCTCCCCTCAGTAGTGTACTTCGTTGATCTGCCTGTTCTGTTCCCCGCTCTGTCTCTGGTGAAGCCTCTCACTGCCCCTGAGCCTCTGGCCTGTACCCCAGTTCGGTATGCACAAATAAATAAATCTTTAAAAAAAAAAAAGTAGATCAACCCTTTAAATTGATACTAAAATATTTTAACAATGAAATTTAAAGCAGCAAAATGAGGGGAAGGTAAATAGATTATGGCAGCTTGAGATTCCAAGAGACTATGACATAACAGAAAGATAACTCTCTGCAATCCAATTTTCTATAACAAAGATAATGTCTCCCTATCAGATAGTTCAAAATCTATAATAAACTCAAGTATATAATTAAATGCAGAAAGGTCATTTAGAGTACTACATGGGGACCAAAGCAGATAAAGAGATAAATGAAATTCTCAAACAAATGCAAATGAGCTCAGAAATAAAATCACCATTAAAAGATAGAAATTGAAGTTTTAAAAAGGAAAATAACATATATTTAGGATATAAAGAACACAAATATTAAGATATAAAGAACACTTTCTAAAGAAAGTGATGTGTGAAGGAAAAAAATGGAAGACTGAAACAATGATATCAATTATTTGGAAAAGGGGCAGAGTGGGACCCCACACACAATTGCAAGAGACCTCAGGCTTCAGAAACAACCATGATAGTGTTTATTTTACAAACAGGGGAAACAAAGAGCTTACTGTATTCACAAGTGTTGTCTATCTCACCCAGGTATCACCAGTGATGGTCAACACCAGTCAGCAGGAGTGTTAAGCAGCACTGGCCAGTAGTGGTGGTCACTATTGTCCCTCAAAAGTGGTGTCAGAGATATCCAGTGTTAACAGCTCTTTGTGATTTGTTGAGTTATACCAACAACAAACAGGCCCAGGGCCTTTGGTTTTCCCTACAGGCAATGTCAAAGACAAAAGTGGAGGCCCAGGCTTTGATGGAATTCTTTGGCATTTCTTCCCTCCTTGGAAGTGAACTGCAGGATGTTTCTTTTCTCTTTCCTCAGAGGCTGGAGTGGAGTCTTCCTTTTTTTTTTTTTTTTTAAATTCTTTAGGTGCTAGTGTTGTCTCTTCTTTGGGGCTCCCTTCTTTCTTCTTTTTTTCTTCAGGGACTCCTTCAGCAACCTCTGACCTTGGTTTACATTCTCTTTCATCCACAAGTCTGATTGGACCAGTTAGTACCAATTAGCTCATAGCTCACATCTGATTGGTCCATTACAAAATGGCAGTTATTGAGCTCTGAGGAGCAACTGTCATAACTGACTTGTGGTAGAGCAGCATATTGAAAGGACAACACTGCTCCTGCTGGGTCTCACTGCTGAGGTGGTTGGGATCCAATAACATACTGACACATTTGACTCAAATGGAAGGAGAGAGAGAAAGATGTAAAAAACAAACAAAAAAGTGAAGCACAGCAAATAAATAATCCAAATTAATTAGGACAAACAACATAATTATTATGACTATGCCTGAAGAGGAAAACAGAGACGTGCCAGAGATTTTTTTTAATGTTATTAAACCAAACTTGAACAAAGAACTAAATGCACAAGTCCATGAAGCTTAAAGAACAACTGTACATCTAAATACAATAAGGACTACCACAAATATACAGTAGTGAAACTATGAAGAGATCAAGACAAATTGTGTGTGTGTGTTGTATAGTGTATATATCCATATATAGAAGGTGGCAAAGATAAAATAACTTTACTAGCTAACTAGTAAACATATAATCATTGAATTTTCTTCTCTGCAGATACTCTAGAATCCAGGAGAGAATGAAATGGCATAGTCATACTCAAAGATGAAAGCTACCAGAAGATAAATACTACAATTTGCAAGACTTCCATCAAATATGAGATGGAAACAAAAGCCTTGTTAGACAAATGACAAATGATTTTGTCAAATCTAGATTTCCCCTATAAGAAATGTTGAGAAGAACTCTTCCATCTAAATTTAAGAAAAGAGAATTCACAATTCATTGAATAATAACAAAAATATATAGAAACAAATCTAAAATGGCAATAGCAAATTTCTACATATTAATAACAACCTAAATAAATATTGTCTGCAATCACAAATGAAAGTGCACAGTCTAACTGGGTAATGCAGAAGAAAGTCCAACTTTCTCTCATTTCCAAAACACCTATCTGAGCTCAAAGATGCAAAATGTCTAAAGAAATGTATTGGAAAACCAACCTAAAACCTACAGTTAAATAGTTCAATAAAATGACAAGGACAACACATAGCAACTAAAATAAACCTTTAGACTAGCTAAAGGAGTATAATTACAGAAATTGAAATTATGTAATGACTGAGAATCAATACATGAAGAAAAACAAATTTTTATTGATATATATATAGAGATAGACATACAGGTAAATAGATAGATATACACACCAAATGGAGAAAAGCAAAATATACAAAATATGTAAGACAACTAATAGCAAATGTTAAAATAATCTTTGTGAACAACACAGTATTATAGGGGGAATTCACCATTTCACTTACATGAAATGGATTAATCATTGAGATAAACAGAAGGAGAACGGCAGTCAGGTATTAGACCAGATGAAATTAATAAATTTCATTATTTAAATGTAATAATCTTTTAGTTAATTAAATTAATTAAAGTGAAATAATAAAAATAAATTAATAATTTATTAAGTTGAATTATTGAATACACTTAAATTTATTTAACTAAATAAAGTTTTATTTAGTGCACTCCCCTCAAAAAAAGCAAGTACACACATTTTTTTTTCAAGTGTACACATAAATTTGAAAGTATCAACCACCTTTTGGGCCAAAAGCAACTGTTAATAAATTTATGAAGATTGTTAAAATAGCAAGCATTTTGTCTGGTCACAGTCATATGAAACAAGAAGTCACCCACAAAAGAAGGTAATACAAATCTCAAATAAAGGAAGGCTAATGTAAATGGCAATGAGTAACTAATGAGAAA